TGTAATAGTATTAAAAGATACCTGTACCAAGGGAAAATTATTGTAAATTTAAAAAAAAAATAAATCCATACGCAGGTATATACCTAATAAAATGACAATATCATAAAATATGACCGTTACTTAACTATACAATATAATATTGTAAACTTGTTTGTATACGTGTATAGGTACCTAATTATTACCTACATATACATGTTCAAACTTATAATTTACGATGCGTTATTAAATATATATATATAAATCCAATTGCATTATACGATCGTATTTAGTAAAAAAAAAAAAATAATAATAATAATAATAAATAGGTATATAATATTATTACTAAACCAACAAAATGTGTGACGCAAAAAAAAAAAAAGCGAGGAAAAAAAACTCATCGGTTACATTATTATATATTTACCTACTTTATATTAGGGTGGACCAGAAAACATTTTAATTATCCGCGAAATTCATGACTGCATACCAAAGCAAAATTCAAGGGTAATTTCAGGCGACATTTTATCAACTCAATTATCAAATAATTAAACATTATGACCAACGAATAGTTATATCAGCAACTATAGTAAATGTCTTATTGTCTTGTTAAAAACATTAATTATGGCTCAGGATTTATTGCACTTAAAATTCACAAAAAAGCGTTTGAAAACGTCAAAAAAGCAATTCAAAAAAATATTATAAGAACAAACGGTAACAAGAGTTCAAATGTCTCCTTTCGAACGACTGCACAAATAATTAACAAAAAATAATTTTGTTTAGATAAAATTGTACGTATTGTAAAAATAAAATAACTTTTATACAATAATTAGTAATAGCGTTAGAAAATTGTATTTAGAGGAGAGACGTCGTTCTATCTTTTTTTGCTTTTTAAGCACTTTAAAGTGCCTTAAACATGACATATATTACGCGGATCAGTATTTAGAAGAAACAATGTTTCGAAAGAAACGAGTTCCAGGAGCTGTTCATTTTCAATAAAAAAATACACAAGGCGAATTCCTTGTTTAAACAAAGAAAGATTCTTTTATACGTAAGATTCTTTTAATAGTATTTGTATTAATTGGGTTCCTTCTTTTTACAGAAAAACAAAACAAATTATAAATCAAATAGTTCTTATAATGTACATATTTTCATATTATACAATAAATCATAACAATCCTATCAAACATAACATATTAGATGAGTGCCTAATAATTGTTGGAATAACATAAATCTGTCGTTCCGGTAACCGATTATCTATATATTATTGTAAACTAAACACAAATCTTACGAGCTGACAGTTTACTGATTTACGAATAGTTTTTTGTTTGTAATGATTGTATACTTTCGGTACCTGTACGCTTTCCACCTACAACACTCCTTTTCTTTTTCTTTTTTATTGTTTTAAAATCGGGAAGAAAAGAGAACTTGTAAATTCTATAAATGACCGACAAAGAAACAGATTCCTATTTTAACGAGTATGGGACGAGGGACAGAACGAGTTACTTTTTCGAAGGAATCGGACATGGACATCGACGTCCGACGAAAGTGCAGCCATCAACTGCGACTAATAGTTTCGAGTAAGTACAAACAATAAACATACACGTCCCGGTGTAATATTCCGTAGTGTAGTTCACAATAATATTCGGCTATTGGCGTTTAAATTTTTTTTTTATAACATTGTGTATTAAAACGCGTTGCCTACAGTGGCGGCTACACGTATATAAATTACGAATTTAACTATATGGGCGAGGGAGAGAGAGCGCGATTGAGTGACGGAGGGAGGGAGAGAAAATTTAATTGCGAAAATATTTCGGCGCGTACGCGCCCGATAAACAAAGTGATTGCACGAACTATTATATTATTATCCGCAGTAGTTTTTGACATCATAATATCGTACATAATTACGGTATCGTTATTATTGTATTCGTGTATCGGTGTATACATATGGTATAAATAATCATAATTCGCACGTTTTATTCACGTGCAGCAATAATATAATATATATAATTGACGCATAAATTGCAGACGCACAGTTAGGTAGTGTTTCCCCACCACCCCCGCCCCCCCACCGTCACTTTGTTCGATACAGTTTTGCAAATTTGCCATAATCACGCATTAAATTACGTTAACGGGTTTTTCGATAATAATATGTAATATTATTGTTTAAACGCGTGTCGAGGGCGATAAATTCGAAGTGCGCGTCGCCGGCTATTACTGTAACAGTAGTTGGCTAATACCCCCGTATCAGGACGGGCCAGGATTTTCTTTTTGTCGTTTTTGTTTTTGTTTTCTCATCTCTCGTGATGTTCGGTCGGATAAAAAAAAAAAAAAAAAAAAAAAAACGTTTCCCTCGAGTTTATGGAACTTTGAAATTACAGGTGGTGGGTATCAAATCAATCGATCAATAGCCGTGTTCCTTTTTGTTTTTAGGTCTAAACATCGATTTTTAAGAAAAAAAAAAAAATGATGAATTTCAACATTTCAACTCTAAACAAATCTTCACGATAATTTCAACAATTAAATTTTTTACGAGCTAAAATAGTGGTTTTCTTTTTTTCTTTATGTATCTGTTTATTTTTTTTTATACTAGTTATTTTTGTACATCTTAGTTTTTTTATTTTGAAATTATTATTTAGTCTAAAAAATAATAATCACTAATGAAACGGCTATTTTTTTTTTTATATAGATTTGATGCTTGCGACCTCTAGAAATCATTTTAAAAACCTGACAATTCGAGGAAAATCTTTTGTTACCCGATGTTCGATCGAACATATTAATATGGACACACACGAATTGCCATCCTCGAATTACCCTCCGTGAATTTTTTTTTTTAAAAAGGTTACTTGAATTACCTCCCGATTTCAAAAATATCATTCACTCGAATCATCTCCTATCCTTAGGTAGTGGCCTTCTTGTATCGGAACCGATGTCTATTTCGATTTTTTAAAATTTAAAAACAATTATACATAGGTGCTAGGTACACGGCATTAGTACACGTGTCAATAGTATACATTAGTACACGGTATTAGGCAATAAGTCGATGTCAAAAAAGCAAATTTGTATGTGTATGGTATCGAAATTCCACGTATTAAAAATTATTAAAAAAAATAATTAGTTAGTCAACTAATCTACTGATAATCAGTTATCGATAATATTATTACATTTGACAAATTAATCTGTCTGGGAAATACTATGTGTATATATTGTTGTTATTGTTATTATTTTTTTCTTTATTAATAATAACAAAAAAAAAAAATTGAAAAATCTGATTGAAGAAGCCATCCACCGATGACACTTTTGATGTATTATTATAAATAATAAAAATAATATTTTTGAACATTGCGGGAATCGATATAATAATCGATAGTACACATCGGTGTATAAATTAATAATATTGGTGTGCTCTGGGAGGCAATTCGAGAGGACGGTTTGCGTACACTCGAATTGCTTCCGAAACACCCGGATGCGATTCGAGTGAAAAAAGGTCATATACCTGAATTTGGGAGGCGATTCGAGAGACCCATTAATATCATGACTAGAACGAAAGAAAATTAAATTAAAATAAGAAAATCCTGGTTCATCCTAAAGGATTGAAGGTATAATTATTTTTGTTAATCGGAAAAAAAGTTTTCCTCTCAGAACACATCATTTTTAAAACAAACATGTTGATAACGGTGAACGCTATTTATTTTATTCGTTTAGAATCTCTTATTAAAAGGTAGGCTCATAGCCACGGGGGGGGGAAATAGAGGTATTGCCCCCTTCTATACCCGTTCATTGTTCCCCCTAGGGCCTTCTAACAACACAAAATTCGTTTTCTCTGTCTGTCTTGCACGTAATATCGCAATAAAGACATTCCGCACGTCCACGATTCCTATTTTCTGGTTGAATTTAGGGCAATTGGATCTGTAGAAAATTTTATAATATATATAAATAGTATATATTTAATAAAAACTTCAGTGAACGATCGATTTTTTTTTTTTGATATTTAAATTTTTTATCAAGGTATGCGTGTTTTAAATGAATTTAAGTTCTCGTAATTTTAAACGATAACAACTCGTTAGAATAAATGAAAATATATTATTCAAAAAATAAATAAAAATCATTCTAAGAAGTCCTTAGTTAATGACGAGACCCTTTGAGCAGTGTGCAATATATTGTAAATAACGGAACTGATACATTTTCGTCGAGCAAACGATTACACAATTCGATTACATCGCGCGAGGCGATGACTGTACGCCATTAAAAAAGACGATGTTTGGCAATAAAGCTCATCGTAAAGATATAAAAAACAAAAAAAATAATGGAAAGTGACAACTCCCGCAGTTATCCGTAAGTCGGACAAAATCAGTAAGAGTACAGCGAGGTATTTTAATATTATACTATAATCCATAAAATAGTTAATAATAAAAAAACAAAACGCGTTAAAAACGATGTACTATGATATACAGGCAAACTTTTCGCGCTTTTCTTTGAAAATAATAATGCAATTAGAACGTTTAATGGTCGGAACAAAGCGCTACGATCGAGTGTTTTTTTTTTTATTTTTTTTTTTTTTACAGTCGAATAGTTTTTTTTCAAACGATCGAAATGTCAATACGGTTATTATTACGTTGAAAGCCAACACAGAAAATTGCACCTATAGTGTGAATATGTTTCCGTTGCTGGTTAGACAACGACTGCAGCTATATTAGGTCGGTGACATTTCACGCCCTGTACGATATTACAGTGCATGTATAATTTCATACAAATTATACAACAACGTTTTTTTTTTCCCTAAGCGTTCCAATAAAACAATAGGACGTTTAGGACTACGATATGAAGTTCAAGTGACGAAAAAAAAAAAAAAAAAATGCTTTATTGATGAATCGATGACACACACAAACCTATATCGCCATATATAAACGTCTCCTATTAAGCAACACACTGTCTATAAATATCAGTATTTGTTAGAATAGCCATTGAGATTATAAAACTTCTGAGTTTTTAATATAAACGAATTTAAAAATAAATAAAAAAAAAAAAACTGTTTTAAACAAGGGTATTAAATCTGAATTTGTACCGCGTTTGGCTTTTATTTCCGTTGTTACGTTACACGCGGCGCTGTATATTATCATATTATAATTTCGCTGATTAAGGGATCCAAAAACTTTAGCTCCTATTATTTTTATAAATATATGTATACGTACATTGTGTTTATGCCGCGACAATTTTTAAACCTATTTCCAGCAGCGGTGGCGGCGCGCCGTAGTTCGTATAATAACAATAATTCGCGCGGTATAGTACGTGTTTTGAATGATATTAAAGTGAAAAAAAAAAATAAAAAAAATATATAATGAAATATACACCGAAAAGCCTACCGAAAAAAATCGATATACGAAAACAAGAATTTTATTGCAACTTAGCGGAGTTTACCGGCAATAATTTTCATAACGAAAAATGTTCGCAAAGCGTATTTTTTTTTTTTTGAATTCAGATTCGTATTGCGCAAAATCTATTCGTTTTACACCATGCATTATGTGTTTTTGTTACCCTAGGGAAACAATTTGTTCGGTTAGTTCTCCGATTTGTTCACGCAGTACCCAATACGTAGCGTTTTTTCCGTCCGGTGATACTTTGTTTGAACATTTTTTTTCAAATTTCCAACAATTGTTTTTCTAAAAAAAAAAAAGTCATAGTAATAATAACCAAACAATAATGGACGGGGCAATACATCGTAGTTTTGGTGTTGTTAGTTTCCGTGTTGCATTGCCCACGAGACAAACAGATACCTACAACCGTTACATTAAGTTACCGAGATTCGCCCATAACCGTTCTTGATAGGAATGATTTATCGTTGCTTTCGGTACATAAAATACATATTAAACCCTATGCTTTTTATATAACTTTCGAAATTTCCGACTACAACAGGAGTGGCCTAAGAGAAATAAGAAATACGACTTTTTCGTCGAATTTCCCCCGAAAATAAAGACTATTGCACTGCAGCTATATTGCGTTTTGTTATACACGGACATATAATTTTCTTGGCACTTAAGAACACCGTTTGCGGCTCCTTCTGGACCAAATAAATATAGACTTGGGAATTCGAATTGTGTTATGGATGGATTAAAGCGTGATGAAATGTTGGCTGAATTTCAATATGCACTTTACCGTGTTGTCGAGGGAAAAGCGTTTTTTCAAGACTCGCACACCCCTTCAGACCACCTGAGTGAAGCCATCGGCATACACCATTTAAGTATCATGTATATACTTTTTACGGGTTGCAACTTTCAAACCCCGAATATTTTTTTTCTTAAATTTCGTTTTTCCGCAGGAATATACCGGGTTTCAAAAACTTATCGAAACTCTGACAACCATAAGTATTTTATTTCATTCATATACAAATATTGTAACGGTGACGAGTGAGCCGGGGGGATAATTCGAATGTGGTAACGGAGCTCTGCATCTGCCATCCTAAGCCGTAAGGCGTCAATGACAATAGGTAATAGGTATAGTTGAAAACTCATATTGTCTGAATCGTTTTCTTGTGTTCTTAATTCGAATCAATACTAAACAAAAATTCCGTATGTAAATCAGTACAAGCAAAGTTATCTGATGGTGTGAATTTTCGATGAGTCACTAACTCTAAACTCTTTGCTTAGTGTATATATATATATATATAAGTACGTGTGAATTGTGTACTGCTTTTTATTATAATATTCGTACGAGTTTAAATTTTGAAAAACTTCTATACATAATAGAAATTAATTATGAAATCTGTTACATTTACGTTGTTTTTACTAAGAATCGAAAATACTTGTCTTAAAATAAAGATTTTTTTTTGATATAAACAAGTAATTTTCAAAATATTGTCTTTTACCGCCTCTGGGGCTTTGCAACGCAGGGACTGCCGCTCACGGATATTTTAATTTTACACCGTGAGTCCTGACAATCGTTCAAAATAATACAATGGCGAACGAGATATTTTATACCCTTGTCCCAATTAATGTTTTTTGAGTTTGTACATAACAACTCGTTGTCTGACAATGGCGCGGTTTTAATTATAGTTATAGATACCTAGGCATCTACGATATTTATCCGAATCACGTTTAATTATCACGATATGAGAAAAAAAATGAACAGTCTCGCGAATATTTTCTACGCAGGTTTTCTGTGTTACAAATCGCATCTATATTAAATTCGACCTGCGTGGAAATTTAATATTTGTACACAAAATTGAACAATAATCGCACGTCATGTGGGAAAATGTACGTAGATATTTAAAATAAACACCGGATAAACGTAGGTATACGGGCTTGCGATATTAATTAATATAATATTTCATAATTTTTTTAATGCAGTAGCTAAGTTAACAGACATAAAAAAAAAACAAACATATTTCTGCAACGTGTAATATATATATAGTACGTGGTTTCCTATACGTGGTTTTGATTTTTTTTCTTTTTTTATCACGAAATCTACACACGAGTTCATATAATACATTTTTCAAGTACACGTACATCGCAAATACTTTAATTTAATATATTTTCAAAAAAGTCGGAGTGATTTGTGCACAAACCGGCTTACGCACGCCTATTGTTGTGCAAAATATTGTTTTAACGGCTAGATATGGAAAATATTTTAGATTGTATAAAATGTTAATTAATATGACGTTTGTTTTTCCATTAGATTACCGCCGTTTTAAAAAAATCGAAAATGTTTAATATTTTTAATATATCGTCAACTCGCCGGACGCGAATATTATCGACTTCATCCGTGTAAAACCGGGCATAGAAAAACAATAAGAAATAAAAATATTGCCACAGCCGTTATGAAATTAAAATTATTATTATCATTTTTTTTTTACGCAATCCTCGTGTTATTGTAACGCGGACGCGGAATGTTCTCCGCACACACGCGACGCAATATTTTTTCCGCGTTGAAAACAATATAATAACAATATTTCTGTTCGACGTCAACGACGCGCGCGATCGCGATGATCGATCGTTCCGCGGAGCGGATCCGTCTCAATTAAAACACCGCGCGAGACGACGCGTTATCGCAATAATACGTTACGTGTACTTAACCGGTTTCGCGGTCGGCGTTTGCGTGACGTTTCGTCCCGTCGAAATGACACGCGGGAACGGCCGGCGAACGGTCGCACCCCTCGGTTTTGTTGAACGCGCCGCAAGAATCGCGGCGTTCCGCGGACGTCGAGATCTCTGTACTCGGCCGTGGCCTGCAGTGACGTAACCAGAACTTCAAACACGCCCGCGACAAAATACTGCGTCGGCTCGGGGCCGACGAGCGAAACGGGGGAAAAAAAAGAAAAAAAAAAGGTCCGTCCGATAATTCCTCGCGCTCTGGTTCGGGGGGGCGCCTAACTGTCGTGAGCCCGATGCCGTTTGGCCACCTTGCCCGTCCGTTATTTACGCTACTGCGTAGCGGACGTCCTCGACTTTGTCTGCGTGGAACACACCACGTAAAATATATACGAGAGAACCTGGATGTTCTGTTTTTTCGTTTTTTATCGCTTCTCGTGATACTCGTCCAGGGGATATTTTATTGGTTTGACAATGATATTTACTTGGGTTTTTTCCGCGAACAACTTTTCTATCAGAAATTTCGTTTTTTTTTTTTTTTTTATTTCCTATGGGTTTTCTTCATAAATGGGGAAAAACGTAGAAAAAACGTGAAAATGTACGAAATGTATTATTTTCAAACCGTATATATTGCGGCCTTTCAAAATATGTATAACCGGATTCCGCTCAGAATCGTTTTTCGTTAGCAATGATTAATCTACGCGTATACGGACGTATATTGTATTTCCCCTCTACCTTTCGAATTTCTCACCTACAACAGTGGTCCACCACCCACCGTACCCACAGTATGTCCATTTGTTTTTGAAATACCGATCCGGAACGCGTTTGAACATAATATTGTGCAATAATCCGACGAAAAAGTATCTCGGAAACCGCTTTGATGATTGTCGGGCAGGTAAATACATTTGGCCTTTTTTACGATTTTTTTTTTACGTGTTTTTCGCGTGTTTCACTAGCGGTCTATAGTACCTACAGCGTGCGACGAGATGATGATTTCGGGGAAAATATACTCACGCGGGGGGGGGGGGGAAACCACCGTACAACAGTTAGTAAACAATAATAAATATGAGGGTAGCGATAAAGTGTGTGTATGTGTTTATATATATATATTATAGAGAGAGCGAGAGACAGACAGAGAAAAGGTATTTTTTAATAATGGTACGTGCTACAGCGGTCCGGGTGTCAAAATCGATCGGGTTCGATCGGAGTGGGAAGCGTAAAAAAAAAAAACACACACACACACATATATATACACTGCAAACAATAAATACTACCGTACGCAGGTATACTTCCATATTATACGGCGGGGTGAATTTTTAATAACGGCGCTCGGGATAGATTTCAATTAGAATTACAAATCAGAAACCCTCCCCGGGGTCGCCGTCTCACCTGTGATGATATTGTTGACTGCGGTGTGTGTTTACGCGTTTTTCGCACAGGTGCGCGTTGGCTTCCGCGTGATATTTTAGATACACACACACACACACACACACACACATATTGTATTAAATTATATAATATGACGTGATAAATAGGGGTGGAAATCGTTAATAATAATAATAATATTATTCTGTTACAACGAGGAGTCACGAAAAACCCCAATGTTAGACGAACGAACGGATAACGGATTGCGTACCATATCGTTAATCATCTTCTCCGCTGTGCAGGTTTCCATAGGATTCTGCGTTCTAGACTCTCTATAACATATTATGTCCATTGCTCCGTAGTCTTTCCGAAACCGTCGTAAACAATTCCACGTCTTTTTTTTTTTTTTTATTTCGTCTTCCAGCCCCTGGGCATTCCTATAGAAGTCTTCGTCCGTATACGAATTCTGCTCCGTCGTCGCTTTTCAGTTCGCTCGTCCTGACTCCTACACGCGTGTCCGCCCGTTTCGCAACGTTCTCCTCGTCATACTTCGGAACAAGGCCCTGTGCCGTTAGCAAAATATCTCTGCATTTCGCATCATCCACTCCGCGCTTTCTTCGTCCTTGTTCAGCCCGACGATTTCCCGCGAGATTTGTATAATATAATATTCGGAACTCTTTCTCGTCTATTTTTCTCAACGGAAACAACGTAACAAAACAAAATATAATGTAATCGAGAAATACCTGTAGTACGATAATTCCGTTGGTTTTCTTATAGATAAAAAAAAAAAAACCGCGTTCAATACAGACCGCGTTTCTCATCTGATGTGATCTATGATAAAATAATAATCTGACGGTGATGATCGTACTGTCAAAGTTCGAATTATAATTATTGAAAAATCGCGATCAATGATGATAATAATAATAATAATAATAATATTAAAAAAATATCCGCGCCAATTATAGCGGTGTGCCGCGCGGTGGACCGTGTCGTTCAAGGCATTTCCATGCGATTATTCTTCTTTTTCACGTAGCTATTATTATTTTTATTATTCTTATTATTTTTTAATGAGCGAGATATCCCTGAAGATGCGCCCGACGACACGCACGCGTTGTTTTGTATCCGCGACTGTGGGTATAAAAACGTAAATTGCGCAAACAGTGTTCGCAAGCGTATAGGTCAGTAGGCGATATAAAAACAAACTAAAAAAAAAAAAAAAAAATAAAAAAAGAAAATACATAGAAATTTCGCCCAAGTAAACGTGACTTATGTCGCGGGACAGTAAATTATAATAATAATAATAATATTGGCCGGCGCGGTGCAACGGGTCACATCGCGGGGCGCCCCGTCGCGGCGGCCGTTCGGTTTGAGCGCGGCCGAAAATGTCGCGACGAGTGCGCGGCCGAAACGCACCCGTCGCCCCGCGGTGTAATCGCACCCGGCGTGCGGTTCGTTGTTTTTCGCGTTGCGTGAAAAATGACAATTAATCGTTTCCGCGGTGCGGTCGTGACGATGACAACGGGATGCCGGGGAATATTACGGCGTGACGACTATCGCGACCACTGCGCCCGGTGCATATCGTGCGCGGTATCTCGCGGACACTCGTTTCGATTTACCGCGATGCGCCTTTGTCCCGGACGGCGATTAGTTTAATAACGGTATCGGTTTTCGACATTTTCGCGCTATAAAAAATACGCGGAATATTTGAACAATCAGAACGTTTTGTTGATGCGTTTTTTTTTTTTATTGTACAAATAACTCTTCTGCCGGCGTTCACCGGCTTGCTTTAATCGAAAACATTATGAGAACTTTTTTTTTTTCGAATATTTTCGATCTGGTCGACGAACTAGTGAGGCTATATTTTGATTTTCCGTGTTGTTTTCCTAATAAAAAACTGGACATTG